AAAATCTCACCTTTTCTATTGCATCAGCAGCAGGCGCAGCAAACGCCGGAGCTACAGCAAGTTGCAGCAACCACTCCACTACTTTTCCTAATATTAAGAGAAGTGACTTTATAAACATACTCTACAAACCCAACAAGACCCACCTAAAAAGGAAGTATTTTTGCTTAACCACTCGCTCGCACTCCCTAGCAAATCAACCGATGTGAGTAGTAACGCTGGATGAGAAGTCATTGGCAGCGTCACTATAGCTTGTACAAGTTCCGGTATGACATTATTCTCCTCTCTGTAGAAGCAATTCAGCAATAAATTATGGAAACTTTCTTTGCTGTCGTACTCACGGAATGATATTGCTAATGACAGTGGAGATTATGAAAAGAGCCGCCTCCGCCTCATCCCACGTTCCAGATTGACTACAGGTTTTTAACATATTATACATCTAAATGTGTAATAAGCGAAGAACGGTGAGTTTCAGAATTGCACAGCTAGCAAAGGGACCCACACTCGTTACACACGATTCCGTTCCAACTACGAAAACCACATCGCGGACGGTCTCCACTACCTAGAAATTGTAGAGTATACAAAAACAATTTGTGCTTTCTACTACGGGAAACTACTAGAGAGTGAGAAGAAAGTTCAACACATCAAATATGCAAAGATTGCAAATACTGTGCAAAGGGACAAGTAATCAACTGCGCTTGCTCTTCTAAGATGGATAAAATGCATTACTATCTAGACCATTTCTTTACATACCCAGTTTATCAAACAGGTTTCGACTGCCATAGATTTCTGCAGTTTAAAAAAAGCGAACATTTGCATCAGTTACCGCTGCTAAACCAAACTAAAAAGCAATGCATGGGAAGTGAATTAGGAGCGAAATGAAACTACGAATGCTTACGAACTGCCTTAATGTAGGTGTACACCAGTAGAGCGATAGAGCCACGAATTCAATGAGGGATTTGCATAACAAGGAAATTGGTAGATTTTTGTGTTGACTTGATTGTTAGGCAAAAAACGAAGACTAATCGGATAGAAAAAGGTAAAGACAAATGATTGTAACCTTCAATCTAAAGTCAGCAAAATCTCCATCGCGGTCTGGAATGCCTTCTTCTTCAGTATCGTAACGGCAATGGCGATAAAGTGCAGCTAGATACCTTAAATGATTAATATAACTCATCTATCTACTAACGACTGTAGCTTAGTTTGAATGATACCTTTGAACGTATGGCTTGAACTTTTCAATGTGTTGATCGTCCTCAAAACTGAACAAACCCTCGGATAATCGATACCAAATATTAAACGTCATTTCAATCAACTGAAACAAACACTTTACAAGATCGTAAGTCTATTAAAGACAAGAACAACATACTGAATAGTCGTGATGACCAGCAAGTAGCAAAAGAAGTTCAAGCGTATGTATACTGCCCAAACTATTCGGATCGTCACTTCCATCATTAACAAGCTTCTCAATGAAAGACTCAGCGAGTTCGACAAAGATCCTCGCGAAGTTTTGTAGCCTACGAAGACAGTTATCTTCGCATACTTGCCCATTTGAGCAATAATCAGCTTACTTGTCCATATCTTCCATCGCGACAGCATGATTAAATGCTCCATGTAGTTGATAGACAGCTGTCTGTAAATTCATCGCGAGTGCTTGGTGAGTTTGGTAGTCTTCGGCTCGTATTAGTGCAGACACAACGCATTCCGTGGCTGCATCATGAAGACTGCCAGGAGCGTTAGGCGCAGCCTGGAGAATTGTCACTCATTGTTAATGTCAGTGGGGATACGTTGGTGGTACAAATAGATAGGAAATCTCCTTTACCAGTATTTGAAATACGGTGTTCAGTAGCGAACTT